GTCAAAGAAAGGCTTTGGGCATGTTCTTTATGAGAGTACAACATTATAACATGGTAAAAAATTCAAAAACGTTCATTGTACATGATATTGCCCCTTAAAACATTATTAGAGACTTGAGGTCCACAAAACAACATGGAACAAAACACAAAGAAATGAAAAACAACCAAGAAGAAAAAAAATTACAAAGGACACCCACAGAATGAGCAATTGACCGACAAAAACTGTACCAGTGCCTTCACAACTGAGACTGGTAACATGCAACACTGAGCCTTATGTTAGTCAGGCACATTATTATTGAGTTACGACAATCAATGACATAACTAGTAAATTTAAACATTATTGAATTGATGCAGATAATTCTGTAATGACGAAGCAACATCAGTGTATGAAGATCGTACTTTTTTCTCAACCTCTACCGGTTGTGTAGCAATCTTATTTTAGTTCCGTGGTTTACGGCCGTAATTAATCTATTAATAAGAGGTAAGCTGGTGTTTGCGCCAGTGAGTGAATGTTGGTCAGAGATGACATCATCAGAGTATACTTGTATATTTTTCGGCATGCTAAGCTCTCACAACGCACTCTTTAGTGAAAAGTCAAATTATACTGATATAATATAGAAAATGCGACTTGCACTGAATCATGATYATGAGGTGACCAAATGTTTTATCAGTTGTTTTTATTTTTTTATTTTGTTGGTAATGTGTCTTCAACGCAGTGGTTCCCAAACTGTTTCTGTCCCTTTTTATTTGGTTAAAAATATTTTGTTTTCAAATTCCATTTCAGTTTATTTCACAACTCAACCCTTTTTGAGCAACTGAACTAATAAAGTTAAACATAAATAAATTGCAGGTTGCAATAAAAAAAAACTACAACCTCTTTTAAATAACAAAACAAATCACCTTTATAGTTTCATTATTTTAAGTGTAACTGTTTTTTTCATATACTGTGACATTATTCAGCATCTATCAATAAATAAATAAGTTTAATTGAGGAAAAATGACATCTTTAGTCTTCACTCCTGCATTTAAATGGAAGTCTGATAAAAAAAAATCAGTTCATGATGCTAGCAATATCCAAGCATTAAATTTTTTTATTTATTTATTTTTTTCAGTCATAATGCGCCCCTCCAGCACTGACATTTTGGTTTCCACTTTAGGAAGCACCACTCTAATGTGCGGATCGTTGGCAGTGTGTTGATGTTCATATCATTGCCTCAAACGAAAATTCCCACTGTACAAGCTATTCGATTTAATTCACAGACACAGWGCTCATTTTTGTCACATTCCTGTCTAATTWTAAAGTAGTTTTTTACTTGTTATGATGATTGGCAACATTAAGCACTGAAAAAGATGTGGAGGTGTTGAAATGTGCCATGAAGTCAGCCTCACTGTGTCCAGTGCACACATCTTCACATTATTGTTCTTCTAACTGATATTAAGACAACAAACAAACTTTTCTTTTAATATAGCTTAAGTTAAACATTTTGATTAAATAAAAAAAACCATAAATCTACAATAATATAAAGGTTTCCTGCTTCATTTATGTCCCATCTTTAAAGCTGGTGTCTCAGAGTTTCTGTGTAATGATCAAAAGACAGGATGGTACTCACCGCTACAGAGCTGCTCACATCACCAGTTTGCTTTCAACTTGTGAAGTTTTTCACATCTCTTCTCCCTCACCTCTCCTCTCTGTCGCCACGTCTCTGCAGTCTTTTGCCCCTTGGTCCCCCATCACCTGCTCCATCTTCAGTGGCGCTACCTCTGCTTTTCTGTCTAATTTGAACACGGTGTTTCAGCAGCCGCAGCTTTCATCTCCCGTCYTTCTCGTCCCACCACTCCCTTTCCTTTTGTCCCCCTCCCATTCCGGGAGGCTTCTCGTCAGCATGTATAGTATTACCACCGACTCCGGTCTTGTCTGCCATTAGAGGCCCCGGAGAGCGAACTCAAACCCAGAAATCGATCCTCTGGATGGTGGGGGTGTAACAGGAGATGGCCCTYAAGAGCTGGTGGAGCTAATGGAGCTGTGGCTTTCAGCAGCACTGGGATCCTGCTCAGAAGTTTCTGTGAAAACCCATGAAACTCACACTGATGCTCAGATAGATAGATTTTCATGAGCTGTACCATTTGGCTGTTTACTAATGTCACTTATCTCCTTTTAACCTTCACGTTGAATAACTTTAAATGTCTCTTACAGGAGTGGCAGAACTCAATTCAGAAGAATGCTGGCCTGGCCTTCATTGAGCTCATCAATGAGGGAAGGTAATTAATCACTCAGACTGATTATCACCCCACTCGAGTCCCTGCGATTAGCTTATTAACACAGGGATTGTTATCACTGTTTTACAACTCCTGTGACTGAGCCCTTATGAGAGTCTTGTCAGGATAAGTGCTCAGCTCTGAGTGTTCAGCAGGCGGCCAGATCATTAAAGTGTAGCTAACTTTACAGCTGGCATGTGCTGATCTAATTCTACATCCTGCAGTTTGTCTGAGTTTTAGCACCAAAAATGTGCATCAGTGAGGAAAAAAGAAGCTCTCTGCAGTGTTAACATCCACAGTGTTTAGCTGAAGTCTTGTTACATCCCATCTTGTTGAGAAACACAGGTTTTTGCTTGTTTTGCTAATTTTGTCTTTTGTTAGACTCCTGTGCCACGCCATGAAGGATCATATTGTCCGTGTTGCCAATGAAGCAGAGTTCATCCTGAACAGGCAGAGRGCTGAGGACGTCCACAAACATGCAGAGTTTGAGGTAAACACATGAACAGCAGTAAGGTTTTTGAAGCAGCTAAAGCACTTTTTTAAATACTAAATAGTAATACATGTTTTTACAATGAAATGTAATTACATTTTCTCCCAGATTCCACAAATTCATGCTAACCATAATATTAATCTAAAAAGTGTGTAATTATAAAGTGACTCGAAAAGTAATTTAACAAATGAAAAGAGCAGAAATTATTTTTAATTATTATTATTTCACTTTCACAAATCTAACAWATTGCTGTGGTTCAACAGAACATTGAATGTTTTTTTGCAAGGTATTTAAAAGTATTTACCTCTAAGAACAAAAACATTATTTACGTGTTAAAAAGAATCTCGCAATAAAAAATCTTATTATAAAAAAATGCTTTAGAGTTGAACAAATAAACATGTGTCTGGGACACATGTCTAAGCTCATTTTTAGTTCTGTTTTTTTTAGAGCCCCTCATAGTTTATAGTTCTTTATCTAAAACAGGCAAAGCTTTTTAACTTTCTGTAAAGGAATACCTGATTACACACACTTAAAAAAATAAACTCACGCCTCACTTCTGATGATGTAGCTGATAGAATAGAATAGAACTGAATAGAATAGAATAGAATAGAAATAGCCTTTATTGTCCACCGAGGAGAAATTCAGGTGTCACAGCAGCATCAGTACAGAGGTTCACATGCTAGTTACTTTACAAACTATAGATAGTACACAAAAAACAAAATTAGCACTGACTAGCAAAGATACTACTACTAATAATAAACAATATAATATAAAGAATTGTGCAAAAAAATATGTTTTGTTTTACAGACAGTAGATGATCAGAATCTGGCATTAGGAATCAGAATTTGCCTATTTTCAGTTCAAAATAATCTCAACAGACAGTTGAAGAGTTTGCAGGTGTGTTTGGCTCACTCAGCTCACCTGTTCTGTTTCTGATGTGAGTCTCTGACAGGAAGTGATCATCACATGTATTTTTACACATCCAGTCGTGTGCTGACAAAACTTACAGAAAAATTGTTCCCCGGGTTCATTAAAATTGCGGGGGTTTTGCTCTGCCCTAAACTTTCGCATTTTTCTGTTTGGAGGACGTTGGTGTTTCAGCGCGCCTCTTCACCACGGCTGAACTTCTTAACTTTTTAGTTTTATTTTCCTGTTTGTGTTGAGAGGGAGAGTCCACAGGTTTCTAAATTACCTTACAAACCTGCCAGAATGAGCCCGTTCCTTGAGATTCTGCCTTTGTGTATTGGATGGTAAATTCTGCATTTTTCACATTGCAAAAATCGTAGAGCCCCAGTAGTATCAATCAACAAAACACTTTTCTTGAGGAAATTTAAGGAAACTCTCTAAATGTTAAACATGAAATAAAATTAATTGAAAAGAATGAAAAATCTTACATGATAAAATGAAGGATAGTAATGGATTTTGTTCTGCTTTCAGAACCAAATGCTTGCATGTTAATATTTAGCATAACAAACTGTAGCTGCACCACCCACAATCTGAGTAAAAAAATCTACATACATTTTTAACTTACCATATTTATTCAAGTATAATACGTAAAATTAAATCCATAAAATCATCCATAAAGTTTGGGGGGTAGTACTATACTCAGATAAATATTTTTACTTATGTATTTTAACTGAAATATTGGCTTCATTCACMAAATGCATGAGTCCTTAAATGAGACCGCGTCGTAAAAAGCAGTTGAAACAAACTTACCTCTGACACTCTTCTGTGCTTCAGAGTGAGAAAACMGATCCAGGCAGGCGACATGATGTGAAAAAAGGTGAGGGAAAGCAGTCCTGCACTTTAGTAATGATAACAAACTAATGACATTAGCGTGTGACCGGGCTGCTCCTCGAACAACAACAAACACATTCATCTGTAATGGCTGCCGTCTACCGATGTTGTGAAAAAGTTTGTATCCTTGAAAAAAAAGTTTCCCCACCAGAGGGGGCGCTCGCAAGTAGGAAGTAATCTGCTTTTCTCCCACAAGATGGCCCAAATCTCATGTGAAGTCTCTGACTTTTGTGCTGGTGCATCCTGGTGGACTATGTGTAAAATGCCAGAATTCATATGATGCTGCTACAGCTGATATATATTTGTTGTCAAAATACCTTTTAGTACACATGTTGTTAAAATAAAATGAACAGTCCAATKATCATTTTACTGATATGTATAAAGACTGTAAAGGCTGAAAAATCTTGAAGTCTGTATGAAATTGGAGGTAGTTTGAGGATTAATCTTTTTATGCTTTTTAAGCTCAAAAAAGGATTATACATGAAATTGTATTATACATGAATTAATACTGTACATGTTTTAATTAGTTGTGGTTTTGTAAAAAAAAAACTCCCAACACAAGTTCTTTTTTAAGTATTTATCAAACCTATCATGCCTCTGGCTTACTTTAATCTTTTTGAATTTATTAGCTGAATCACACACAGTGTGTTATTATAGCTGACCAATCAAAACAGAAGCACTGAGTGGGTTTTAATTGCACTTTCATACCAACCATTCTCATATACGTATGGCAGGTGTATTTGGATCAATTACTAATTTAATTTACAGTATTTCAAATAAAAAATAAAATCTCTAGCCAGCATTAATGCCTTTTAAATACTACAAATATCATTTTAACCTGCTGAAAACCCTTCTTTTTTAAATCTTCTTCTTCCGCTCCACAGTCCAACTGCGCTCAGTACGCTGCGGATCGCCGAGAGGAGGAGAAAATGTGCGACCATCTCATCAGCGCTGCCAAGCACAGAGATCACGTGACTGCAAACCAGCTGAAACAGAAGATCCTCAACATCCTGACCAATAAGCACGGAGCGTGGGGGACAATGTCACAGAGGTGAGCTGAGGATGAGAGATGATACTCTGGGATGCTTTCAGTCACAGCTCRTCCTTAGGCTACAAACATTAGTAGTTAAGACTGTTCCATGTTACATAGACCCCAATTGAATGGTTTAAATRTGAAAAAGAAGGATTAACAGCATGATATGTCACAAGTGTCCCAAAACAAATACCATATTTGTTCCAACGCTCATGTTTGCCTCCCCCTCCTTCATGTCTGCAGCCAGCTCCACGACTTCTGGCGCCTGGACTACTGGGAGGACGACCTGAGGAGGAGGAGAAGATTTGTGAGAAATGCCTTCGGTTCCACGCACGCCGACATTTCCCTCAAAACTCTGGATGAATACGGTCAGTAATGTGTCGTAACCTGTTGTCAGTCAGTGGGTTCCTTTTTGCATCCTCGCACAAGGATTCTTAAAAAACAAACAAAAAAATAACGTTGTCAAACAGGCACAGAGGAGGAGGAGGAGGGGCCAAAGTCCAAGAAAAGCTTCCGCAGCCAGTCGGTGGTCGCCCAAAACCCAGAGGCGGAGTTGATGCTGGAGGGAGACGACGACGCCGTTAGTCTGCTGCAGGAGAAGGAGATCGATAACCTTGCTGGTAAGATTCAGTTCTGCGAACGGACTCCAAAAACACAACCTTTCAGTCATCCTGAACAATAAGCTGTTTATGACTCTTGTTTTTAGTACGTTTCCGCCCGAGACTTTTTATCTCCAAAGGCAAGTTGGACATTTCAAAAGTTTGTTTGTGCAGCTGCACTAACCGCCCAGCTGGTTTGTCAGACTCACAGCGATGACGTGATGAATCACAAAAAACTGATTCACATCTAATTCAATCTAATGGTGTCCTGAATAATTTCATACCTGATCATGCCTCTGAGGTTTTATGTTTTCTGTTGTCTGTGATGCTTTTTGTAGTTTCTGCATCAAACGCGCATCAGTGAGTCTGTTAYCTGTAAAGACCTTGGTAACACATCTTCCACCCCTCCAGGCCCTGTGGTTCTGAGTACTCCAGCCCAGTTGGTAGCTCCTGTGGTGGTGGCTCGAGGCACTCTGTCCATCACTACAACTGAGATCTACTTTGAAGTTGATGAAGAGGATCCTGCCTTCAAGAAGATGGATGCTAAAGTGAGAGTAATAAGCTATTTTTTTACCATGAAGATATGGAAAAAAAATTAAAAATAGGGTCGTAGAAGGTAGAAATATCGAGTTGTGTTGTTTGTTTTTTTAAGACTTTTTAAAATCTTTTGTGCGTCCACTCAACAGGTGCTGGCTTACTCGGAGGGTTTGCATGGAAAGTGGATGTTTAGTGAGATCCGAGCTGTGTTCTCCAGACGGTACCTGCTGCAGAATACAGGACTGGAGGTGTTTATGGCCAACAGAAGTGAGTCTGCACAAACTCTACTGCAGCATGAACGTATTTGCTTTTTGCAGTTTGATTATATTGCAGCTTAAAGTAGGACTTTAAAATGCCTGTGACATGCTTCAAATACAAAAAGTCAAAGAAAACATCTTTATATTTAAGAAATTTGGCATAGAATACATAATTTTACTCATTTTTTCACATAAATGACAGATTTTCTATTGAACTGGGCTTAGCCAAAGTGAAACAGGAAGTGACATCAAAGGGGAACTCTTTAAGAAAGGTAGTAGTCTTTGAAACAATATTATTTGAACTCTGACTTTTCTTCATCTCTCTCTAATCTAATCTAAAAAACAGATTCTTCTCTACAGTCCGTGTTGTTAGCTGTTGTAGCAATGCTCTGTTTACGTTCAGACATTCCTCTTTGACATCACTTCCTGTTATTTCACATGCAAATATGTTAGCATCTGTTAATCACAGCAGCATGAAAATTATTTGGCAATATTTTATTGATGTTATCTTTCAAAAAATGCATTAATATTTATTACCAAAATTTGACGTCACAGGCACTTTAAATTGTATGTAGTTCAGACAAAAACACACATTGTCTTTGATGTACCYCCTGCTTTATCTCCAGCATCTGTGATGTTTAACTTCCCCGACCAAGCCACGGTTAAAAGGGTGGTCTACAGCCTCCCCCGGGTAGGGGTGGGAACGAGTTATGGATTACCACAAGCCAGGTATGCACAAGGTGTAGTCACTTGTTTCCTCGATCCTATATTTGCAAGAAAATAACGTTCATTTGAATGTTTKTGTGTGTTTTTACGTTTCAGGCGTATTTCCTTGGCGACTCCTCGTCAGCTCTTCAAGTCRTCCAACATGACTCAGCGCTGGCAGAGGAGAGAGATCTCCAACTTTGAGTACCTCATGTTTCTAAATACTATTGCAGGTAAATTTATTTTGCATATAAAATAATAGATAGTGACAATTTAGCTCGATACTATTGAGGAAACTAAATACAATGAGCAAATGCAACAGTTTGCACTYGGATCATATTAGTTTTCGCATGCTTCCTCTGAGGATTTTATTAATGCAACAGATTTATGGATTGATAACATTTGTACAAATGTGTTTTTAAAAAAAATCCTGCAAATTCTTTCAACTTTTGTGATTATTGTGAGACTTAATTTTGCCTAAGAATTTAGTCTCACTTATTRAACACGTTCCTATGAGACATGAGTTGACAAAAAGTTGGCATTAAAACTTTATGTATCTCAAGAAAATACTGTCATATTTAGTATATCTGCCTTGTATTTTTTTTTACAAACCTCAAAAACAAAAACGTGCAAATACCAAAGAATGTTTCCCRTCTTTAAAGGAGAATTTTGTTTCAAATCTACTTTGACATTTCTCCCTGCAGGGAGGACCTATAATGATTTGAACCAGTACCCTGTTTTCCCCTGGGTCCTGACTAACTATGATTCAGAGGAGCTCGACCTCACTCTACCCGGCAACTTCAGAGATCTTTCCAAGGTTTGGACCATTCTGGCATAACGCGCTTTTCCCACAATTAAATCATATTAATGATAAAAACTGAACTAGATGCATCATTTTATGCTTCTAATAAGACTTAGCAGTAACCACGTGAAATTCGATATAATTTGTGACAATGTCTGTATACCACAAACTGAGGAAATATTATTTGATTAAGTAAACATAGATGTGTTTTTTTTTTTTTTTTCTAGCCAATCGGGGCACTAAATCCCAAGCGAGCGGCGTTTTACGCAGAGCGCTACGAGACGTGGGACGATGACAGTACCCCTTCTCATCACTATACCACCTTATACTCCACAGCTCACTCAACACTGATGTGGATGGTCAGAATAGTAGGTGTCCACTTTACCACTCTTAAAAACTYCAACACTCTACAGCTTTTTGCACATGTGACAGCCATTCAAGATTTCTAYRGAAAAAATGATATWTTTCTGTGCCTGCAGGAGCCTTTTACCACGTTTTTTCTCAACGCCAATGATGGCAAGTTTGACCATCCAGAGCGATCCTTCTCTGGTATAGGCCGTGCGTGGAGGAACTGCCAGAGGGACACAGCTGATGTTAAGGTAACTTCTGATGAGTCAACTGAGTTTATATGAAAGRCAAGGGTTAGCTTATATAAACCCAGGTAKATTAATGCATTTGCTCCTGTCACACCAAACAGGAGCTGATCCCAGAGTTCTACTACCTGCCAGAAATGTTCGTCAACAGTAATGAGTATGAACTCGGCATGCGGGATGATGGCGTTGCTGTGTGTGACGTGGAGCTTCCTGCCTGGGCYAAGAAACCTGAAGACTTTGTTCGCATCAATCGCATGGTGGGAGACTCGTTCATCCCTGAAACAAAATAAAACAAAACATTTACTATCTTTTCCCTTTGGACAGAAACTGAGCTTGTTCCTTTTTCCTGCCCGCACCTCTTCCTCCATCCAGGCGTTGGAGAGTGAGTTTGTGTCGTGCCAGCTTCATCAGTGGATTGATCTCATATTTGGCTACAAGCAGCGAGGTCCAGAAGCCGTCCGAGCTCTCAATGTGTTCAACTTCCTGTCCTACGAGGGAGCAATCAACTTGGATAATATGGATGCTGTGCAGCGTGAGGTTGGTTTCCATCAGTGTTGTATAAAGTACCACAAAGTGTTACTTGAGTAAAAGTACAAGTATCTTACCAAAAAGTCACTTTGGTAAGAGGTAAAGTCTCCTTTAGAAATATTACTTAAGTAAAAGGCTTAAAGTATGTGATATTGTTTGTACTTAAGTATTAAAAGTAAAAGTATTGATATAAAATGAGCAGTTAGATTTTCTGTAAGGACATTTATTAGGAAGTGACCTCCCCAAATTAATGCAGAAATGACTATATTGTATTAAAATAATTAATTTGCATAGTTTGCACTATTTTATTTTGTTTTAACTGATTATTGCTTTTATTGTGTTTATTGTTTTACTGTGGTTTTTATTATTGACTTTTGTAAGGTGACCT